AGCCTAGATGTCAAGGACTATAGTTTCAGCTGCACTTAATCTACATCTGAGTCATGCAGATTGCCCCCTAAACTATTATATACCACGCCTAAGTGGCTGCTGATCGAACCATTCCAGGCGTCGTTAACTCATCTGCCGACCACCGTCGCCAAGCTCGCTCTCAAGGTTTCTCTCAAATACTCTGCAAGTGTACTTTGTGTGTTTCAACCCGCAGGGTCAATATCTTAATGCTTCCAAGTCCTTTCTACAAATAGGACGAGCTACATGAACCCTGAAGAATCGATGTTACCGCCACACTAGTACAAAGGTCCGCCACAGACCAATCAACAGAGCGCCAGGAGCGGAAAATACAGTCCAAAAGTACGGATTCGCTCCCCAATTTCATCTCCGGCATCGCGACTACACCTCTCCCCAGCGCTCCTGAAAGTGCTACAGAGTACAGCTCAGAATGTGAAACCTCCTCCCAGCATCCGAACATCCCAACTGCGATGGTTGACTCAGTATCTTTGCGCATAGACGCAAAGACTTGGTAGTCATGGCATCGAACTGAACTCCGTACACTCCGCTGTGATTGCGTGCATTAGTGTCTGGCCTCGCGGGATCCTGATTCGCCCGATTCGCGATCGACTGCAATATTCAAGGGGGGCAGTCCTGGACCTGGGCTGGGCCGCTAGCCTGCCATCAAGGAGACTGTGACATTCAATTTCAGTTGACTCGTGCTGAATAATGCACATCAGCTTCGTCATAGGTAGCCTGACTGAATGGCTCGTGACGCGGTGCGGATGCCAGGGGGATATATCTATACCGTCCCTAGTGTCCGTACACGATTTCCTTGATTGATGGCCGCGAGAGAACGGGATTTGAGGTCGTCTTCCTTCGGACTTTGCGGAGATGGGACTATGCCTTTCCTGGATTGTGTACGGAGTAGTGTGATTCTCAACCTGTCGCCGCTGCCGACGATCTGTTGGCTCTATGCCACGCGCATACATACTCCGTACCGCTGTTTCAATTCGATTACGGAGTCCTACGTTGGGCATTGAGTGCGAGTCACGCTCTCCCCGGTTTTAGATTGATAGCATTCTTCAGGTAAAAAATACGGAGTATCACATAGATGATTAGACCATAGGATACATGATCCTTGCGAAGACAAGCTTATCGTGACAGACCTAGTCCGCGTATGGTGCGCCTTCCTAGTTCGGCCACGATCTCTGCGTAGATTAAGGATTAAGCATCAAGCTCGTCTGTATGGTGTCTAATGCCACGTCCGCGTCGCTTCGTCACATAGTCTTGCTTTAGCCCTCGTCTACATAAAATTAACTTGGGGTATCAAGTTCCGAGACAAAGCAGAATGGCACTCCTTCTGTCTGGTCAGGTGCCTTGGGCAACCAAAAGGAATCTCTTTCGATCTGGGGACTATCACTCAAAGAACATAGTATGCAATCCTGGACGTTTATGGCCGAGAGTGGCGCTGATCATTATATAAACATTGGGCTAGACTGTGGAGTAAAAGCGGTCGATTCAAAGAAGCAGCGTCTACACAGTAGACTAGATAGATTACTGTCTGAAGGTATACTGGCACTAATCCGTATCCCAGTAGCGCCGAGGTAAAAATACTCGGGTTGTCCCTTGGGGGTTTCCCGAGCTGTATTGCATGGACGTTGGACTTGTTTCATCGTTGCAGATTATCTGAACCATCTTGGTGACGAGATGTCCCCCAAATACCCTGTGATTGGCTTCAACCTGTCCCCGCAACATGGCGCCATGTGATATGGTGCTTGTCATCCACGCCATACACCACACGACAATCGTTAAGCTTGTGGTTTCACAAATGTGGCAAGTGATAACAGACCATGTCACTCACGCCACCATTTCCCTAGTGAGCCACCCGATCCCGCCATGGCAACCACCTCCTCGAAGCTGACCTCAACACGGAACATCCGTCCATCTGCAGTCCCACTTCCCCCGCCGACAGGGTTGATCAACCCCCAGCTAACTAGCTTTTCCCACGCTTCGCGCGCCACATCTCGACCCCAGACACGACCAGGAGTGACGGTCGCGCCAGATACCGAAGCAGACGTCTTAGCAGATGTCAAGAGTCGGACATATTCCGCATATGCTGCGGGGAAGGACAGTGCAAGTGGGGCTAGATTCTGAGGCTGACCGGCTTCGACGCCAGGGTCGTACAGCGCTGTCAGACGGGACGCGGCCAGCAGGAGCGAGAGCGGAAGAGATGACGGGCTTGCAGAGATAGTTGTGGACGTAGAGAAGGGAAGAGGAGCAGGATCCGGGCACGATAAAGCCTGGTTGCTGAAGGTCTTGGGTGTCGGGATTTCGAATGAGGAGTCGTAAGTGCTGTAGTGCAACTCAGTTATCGCCAGTAGGGCACTTGCGAAGAATTCTTTGACAGATTTTGTCTGATGGTATATCCTCTGCAGATGATGGTTGAACGATTCGTCGGCCCAGAGTGCCTATTAGATGTGAGTTAGTGTCTTCTGACAAGTGCACCTAACCCAGAAAAGAGAGTATACCTGTAGATATGTCCTCCACCCCTCCAATAGTGTGTTTCGCTTCCCGGGTGCGACATCGTCAAAAAAGCAGTGCTTCTCTTTGTCCTCCAAGTTCAACGCCGCAAAACAGATTTCCGAGAAAGTTTCGAAGCTTCTGGGAAGTGGAACGTAGACATATCGATGACTGAACCGACTCTTGACACGCTTTTCCAACATCTCGGTCACATCGACTTTCGTGGTAAGCCCCAGCACAGCGATTGGAGCTTTGCGAGCTTGTGCGATGTCAAATAGATTGTAGAGCAAGGTCTGTCGGGGATGAGTCGCGAACAAGTCAAATTCATCAAGAATGATGATGATGGACTTGGCCGCCGTGACGGCCTTCGGGTTTCCAGAAGGACCGAACAATTCCTCCGGATGAGACAGGAGAGCAAGTAGAGTTGCCATGGTGTCGGCGTAGGTACTGACTTTGCCTGCCTCTTCTTCGGTGTTGGTCTCACGACCGAGTTGGCGCCACATCTCCCGCAGCGCAAGTCGATCATCTGTGTGTAGGAAGCCGTTGAGTCGAACCACATGAAATTCATTCATGTGTTCTTTCTTCAGCGACGATATTATCGTCTCCACAATGGCGGTTTTGCCGCAGCCACGAGACCCAAGGAGCAGCATTGAGTTACCTTCGCCAGCGGTGACGGTCTGCTCAATGAGCTGACGCACCTTGGTGTATTCATTCTTTAGCCCTTTCAACGGAATAAGCTGCTTTCCATTGAGCTTTTCGAGAAGCACCTTTGTCAGAAGCCGTAGTTCTTCGTTAAGACCTCCCTGAACAAGCCTCTGGAAGCGTTCTGCATAGTCGGGCAGAGGATCGGATGTGACCGTACTGTCGTCATTCTCGATCGCATCCTGGTGAGTGGTGTCTTGCTGTAGTTGCATTGAAACAAGGTCGTCTAGTCCATCTTGGTACTCCTCCGCGGTCGGAGACTGTAGCGACTGTTCTCGGCTCTCAGGTTGGTCTTCTTCTTCCTGCTGCTCTGTGGGAGCGTATCTGACGGAGGCTCTCTTAGACCTCGTTCTGGCTAGTCCTCCCCTCTGAGGCTGCGGTGAGTTCTCCTCAGCCTCTTCCGTTTCCGGCACCAATCTACTTCTCCTTGTGCTACGTGGCGTTCGCTCAGATGGTCCGATAGATGATCTGGTCCTCTTCACTGACGACAGGGTGTTGAGATCTTCTTCCTCGTATCTCTGCGGTGGCTTCCGTTGACGTCCGCTCGATCGAAGGCCATTCCGCGAAGGAGTCTCCACGTTCGCCGATTTATCTCCCGCCCCATTCATGGCTGTGTCCTCACCCGCATCTGGCCCAGGTTGTTGTCGAAATGTTTTCGAGGTAGTGGGCGATGCGCCCTGGCCGGTAGGTGACGATGCAACCGAGTGAAGATTCTGGCCGTCATCTCGCATTTGAATATCACCATCCTGGTCTGCAGACTGTATGTCGGACAACCTCCTCCTCTTCGCCGCTCGTGGGTTCGTCATTTTGTGATGTCAGGTCTTCGGTAGTGTTGGGAACGGAGGTCAAACCCGAGGGAAGGGAGAGCGAAACTGCTGCGATGTAGGCTACTATCTTTCAGGCATTGGTCGAAGTAAAATCTCCTCAAGCGTTATACAGACATTGAGCTTTGTCGAAGATCAATGGCCGGTGGTGATGCCCATGCGACACATCAAACCCAAGAATAGACCGCTTAAGCGGACAAAGCTTTCCGACGGGATTGCGACCGAATCACCTAGGTAGGCATATCAATATTAGAGGTAAGCAACATGAAAACGCTGGCAAGCACTCCACATACGAGGTCAATATTCTGGACAGTACGCACTGTATTTTGATATGGCCAATTGAGTAGATCTCAATAGATCTTGAGTCCTCTTGCCGCGATGACAAGGATGATATCGTGATTTAGGTAAAACGCGTGACGCGAGATCAGGTGAATCTCTCTGTGCCACAGGAATATTCAATGCCAAACCATCTTGAGCAAAAACATTAATCTAGGGGAGATCCCGACATTGTTAGAGCTATCATGATCAACCCAGCCTTTCAAATGGCTTAAAATCGCTCATCGAGCGCCTGAACGATCAAGTTCTCCGAGTATAAACCACATGCATGGTACATGACACTACAGTGTACACGGGGTCCTACGGCGTACTTGGTTGCCATTGAATGACGGACAGCGAAGAAAGTGCATAGGTGTCATAGGTGGCTGAGAAGAGTAAGCAGATGTCTGTGATATATATCCCAATGGTCCTCTTCAAGTGACATTCAATGCGTGAGAACCCTTCAAGACCGACTGACTACAACCGCCAACCTCGGTTATCCACCATCCCCCTCGTCTGTTGGACATCCAAGCTATCCTCGTAACCAGAGAAGACTCTCGCGTGAATAAAAGGAATTAGCACAATCTCCTCGCATCGTCTCCTTTCTTGGTATAACATTTCATCATCAGACTTGGAACCATGTCCTCATCATCAATTAGAAGACCATCCAGAAGCCTGGATCAATTCGAGGAGCTCGTCTACGAGTACTCCGCGCGGATGGGCCAACATGATCAGGAGGTATAGTACGGCCCTCACTTCTCAATAACCCCCAGATGGAAGTCTAACCAAGCGTCCAGCACTGGGACTTTGATCCTCGCGCCTGCAATCTCCGCTTCGAATCCGCTACCCGTGGGCCTCCAGCACAAGTCTCATACCTTCTCACCGTAGCCCCTAAACTGTGCAATTTCATGGGTAATCTGCACGGCGGGTGCGCCGCCACGATTATCGATGTCCTCTCCACCGCTATCCTCCTGGGCATCTCGAAACCAGGTTTCTTCTCCCTCGGTGGTGTTAGTCGAAATCTCAAGGTCACTTATCTGCGCCCCGTGCCGGTGAACACGGAGATACGACTGGTATGTCAAGTTATCCATACGGGGCGCCGGTTGGCGCTTTTGCGAGCTGAGATCTTGAGAGCCGATAATGGCGATCTCTGTGTGCTGGGGGAGCATGAGAAGGCGAATACGGATCCTGAGTCAAGCGTGAAGATGTGATGTTCTTTCTCCATTTGTCCAGACTTATATAGATACCTTGTTAGTATTCTGTTCTATCGTCGAGATTCCCGTGTGCTAGAAATAGACTGGGGGCATGAAACTTGGCTCTGACGAGAATCGATTCCCTTACTGCGAGACTGAAATATTAAAACCAATTCAATTTCCAGCCTACTGACAGCAATTATGAACAAGAATGTGCCCGCAAGACCGTGTTGAATTTCAACCTATACCAGGTGTGCACTACCACAGCCTGTCAAAAACAGCCAGAAGCAAAGTGAGTGTGTGCGCTCCAGAATGCTCATGGTTCATTGTGGATGGCAAGGATGAACAGGAATCCAAAAGATATTACGGTCCAATTCAGCAACAACCAAACACGACACTCGGTTATCGAAACTTCGTGCTGGGTTACAGCACCCTCACGTCTAGTCCTCCGCAAGTCTCTGGTCCTCCCGAAGACCCTCAACAACCAGCTCTTCGCCTGTGGCCCGCTTGTAAAGGTCCCGCACGTCGTCTGTTTTGACCATTAGCAACTATGACGCGGCGGAATAACTGTGACATACCTGTTGTTGTCTCAAAGTGGGAGGTAGCATCATAGCTCTTGGAAATGAAGATGTTGTCCTTCTCGCCGCTGTCCAAAGGTTCGTAGAGAGGAATGGGAGGGCCAAAGAACTTCTCTTCAATCTGGCCGAGACGCTCGAATCCGGGTTCCAGTTCCAGGTGGTGGTTTGCATCAGTCTCGGCAATAGTAGAGACAATGGCGATGTAGTAGCCCTTGGGGCAGACATTGTGGGCGGATGACACCATGGCAATGTAAATGTCTGATTCTGATCAGTAAAGTCTTGAATCTAACAGACTCCAAGGTCCACTCACCGTGCTTCCTTCCAACTTGAGACTGAGGAATGATCAGCTGCAGCGAGTCGCTGCCGTCGGTCTTTTCAATGGGGTGCTTCAGGATGCAGATGGCCTTCAGGAGGTAGCCAGTGACCCGAACCTTGCCAGGGAAGTAAGATGGGTCCGCGATGATCTTCTTTGTCTTGGTGGTGAACTTCATGGCCTCACTATTGTCCTCGCGATCCTTCATGGTTGCCTTGATTCCAGAGACCTTGCCGCTCTCGTCGTATAGAACCTCGTCGACGCTGGTGTTGAGCATGTAGGTGCCACCGTAAATGGCAGACAGACGAGCAAATCCCTGGGGGAGCTCACCCAGACCATAGAGAGGGTAGATGTATGGGGACTTTCCGTACCGGGCCATGGAGTTGACATACAGTCGAATACGATGGATGGTCTCGACGGCCATGCCAGGTGTTGTGATGTACTCATCAGACGGATAAAGCGCCATGGAGTGACCGACAAAGTCGCGGGTGTTGTCCTCGAGTCCGAACTTGTCATAAACCTCCTTCATTGTGCACTGAGCGACATTCAGACCTGAGCCCTGCACATTAGCAGCTGAAATGAATGCTACATTGTAGAGACAAACCTTGGTGAGTAGAGGGGTCGTCCTCCTTGAATTCACCAACCCACTCCAGGAACTTCTTAGCTCTTCTCTTCTCGAACATGCCCATGAGGGATGAACGTAGAGCTTCACCAGCATCCGATGGCACCTTGGCCACAGTAGCTTTGGGTCCCTTTCCTTGCTGGACATAGCTGCCAGCAATCTGTTTGAATTCAAGGTATCGCGTCACATCCGTAGAAACCAAGATATTCGTGAGTTCACCGTTTGCCATCAGCAGCTTTGGGACCAGATCAATATTCCAATCGTTGACTCGTCCATACTTCTTCCAGGGTTCTTCGCCGGGGCGGACGTTGCCGTATTTCTTGAACAGCTGCAGGACAAACAAGGCATCAACAGATGTTTAAATGAACTAACTGAACGATGGACTTACGGTTTCAATGTTCACGGAAGCAGCTTCTCTAAAAATTGTGTCAGTATGATGGGACGTGGATGATCGGATAGCTACCCCAGTTCTTACCCTCCGTAGTGATCGTTGCGATCAATGTGGAGCACCTTGTTACCCTTGACACTGAGAACACTGCACACAATATCAATAGGCTATTCTTCAGGCCGAGGAGATGAATCTTATCAAAGTCCGTACCCAGAAAGCACACATTCCGTCAACCCTGCGAGGGGGGTTAGCACTACAGCTGTCAAACGGCGGGGTAATACATACCAGTGCCGAGCACCACAACATCATACTCGGGGGCGATCTCTTCCATGATGGATGGGTCGGAAGGGGTGCAAAACAATAACAATAAAATAAGCAAGGAGGAGTGGAAGTCGTGTGAGATTGGGAGAAGATAGATTTGGAGAGAGGAAGGATACGGAGACACTGAATGTTGCGGTGAGTTTGTAGTTAGCAGATAGTTTAGTCGTGGTGTCCAGGAGCTAGTCTGCTGGAAAGCCCCCCGCGGATCATCAACCAAGGACCAGCAGATGGGATTGGGCCCACAAGGGGGTGAGGATAAGTACGCCGCTCGCTGTCTTCATATTAAAATGAGCTTGGAATATGAGGCCCACGACTATTAAAGATTTAATTGATAATTGATCAAATCACATAGAATACTGACCTCCTGAGTCCTGAATATCCCCCTTTTCAATGGCGCCCAAATCTCAAGCCATAACAGCTTAAAATAACCTACCTACAGACGCCCGGGGACCTAAACTATTGGCGCTACGGAAATTGGCACTGTGCTAACGCAAACATACGTTTAAGTGGATTTGATGGCACGTATAAATATTTGCTTGGATGTTTACTTATTGATAGCCTGACAAAATATACAAAGACCTTTTCGCAACCCAAGGAATAAACAAAGACCGATTTATAGAAAACAGTACAACTCTCCGATATAGTACATGTGGGATGTCCCTGATGTGCAAACCATGTCCAGACAACATGAAGTCATTGCATGAGCAGCTGCCAATTATCACTACCTACTCCTGATTCTCCTCGTCTTGTGGGCGATATCCGTTCTTGTAAAGCCGCTTCGCATCTTCCCAAGCATACCACCTCTCGCGCAGAACGTGCTTGATGCCATTTTGTGTAACGCGGATCTATAGTCAAGAGAAAAAAAAATTAGTAGGACGTTCATCGAGGAATGATATTTAGCGCATCAGCACCGATGGATCCAAGCCATTGAGCACCCAATAGATCGGGAGCCAATTTGCAGGCAAGAAGAAAATATGAAGGTCTGGAGTCGGAAAGGAATGAGAAACTCACGGTTCTATCTCTTTCACTAGCTTCCCATTCTCCGTAACCCGCCTTCAATCGCTGTCTCTCGAGGTTGGACGTAGCTATGCGATTACGCTCCTTGACACAGACCCACCAGAGACAGTGAAGGTCTTCCCACGACTTTTCCCGAAGTTCTTGGATGGACCAGGAACGGCCTATTTGATGAGCCACAATTAGCAAAACCTATGTCGACCAGGAATAAAGGTGAGAACCAGGTGGTTGAATACGAACCGTGAGCAACATCATATTCTGGTGTGCTCAGTGCCGACCTATCTCTGGGGAAGAATCCCCAGAGTCCGTGATCCGGGGTCGCTTCACGCTTCTCGAGTGCCGCGGGGGAGACAGGCTTCGGCAATGGGTACTTTGACACGCCCAACTTGAATCTGGGGCCTGTTCGGTGAATAGCTGAGACACCGCGGGTCTTGTTCAAGTCACGTCCACGGCCACCGACGACGGCGGTCGAGGAAAAAGATGAGCACTGGACCGGGGTCCGGATCAAGGAAAAATGGAGCGACGGTGCGAGGTAGGGAGGGGGCAGTTCGACCAGCGGAAGACCATGGCACTGGCGAGTAAGCCGTGCGACCGACTGGAGATGCATATTGAACGAAGTTGGCTGCCAGTCACTCCTTGAGGGGAGACCCGTAAGATGAGCTTTTTGCGGCGTTGAATTCAGATGCAGGAGTGGACCTCCACGAAAGAGTCACGTGAATATTTAGCCGCCATCCCCGTTGACAGCGAGGAAATATGTGCAACACTCTGTACGACAGTATCTAGTGTCTTAAGCGTACAGGGAATGAAATTTGAATACTATTATATGTAACATCAGTTTAGTCCTGAGGTAGCCGTCTTAAAGGTTTAGGTGTTGTTGATTGGAGTTGATGGCCAGCACCGACCAATCCTCCTACATCGCCATTGCTTCCAGCAAGAAACGAGAGAATCTGGGCCGTCTCCTCATAGCATAGATAGTTACATATCACACCCTCTTTGCTTTCAGAGAGATATAGTAAACTAACAAGTCCGTACACCGCCTTTTTGGTTATCAAATTCTGCAGAAAACCCTCTAAGCTGAAGATAAATTAGGCGGTTAATACTAATGGTCCGTGCGTTCCCTTCAGAAGAAGCGCGCGTTTGTAGCCACTCCACCTTCCAGTAACAGAGAAGTAGTCGCCGCATGAGGATTGAGGACTGAGGTGAAGCAACACTATTGTTTAACTGCTCTCTCTACACTTTCATGATCGCTTACTCCATTTCCTCTTTCACACCTTTCACTACTCAGATTGCTCCTTGACGGTCAGACACTATTATGAACAGGCCAGGTGAGTGTGCATTGGATTCTTTCTCTCTAGAGTTTCTGCTATTTGTGGTCTTGCTCCGCTATAGCAACACCGACTGGTTACTTTGTGCGATGAATCCCTTTCATGTATCAGCTTCTCGGCGTCAGAGATGTAGACCCACGTTGCTTGGTGAAGAGGAGAATTTCCTCAGTGATTTTCATAATCCAATTGTCGTCTTCCCACACTACGTCCACCCTCGATCATATCCAAGACTTTGAACGCCATGGACGGACGAGCCATCTGGCTAGCCCTCTGGGCCTGTCTGATAGAGATCGCGCCGTCGCTTTCGATCCACTGTTTTGTTACGTTTGCGCTGATCAACCATTACTTCTCTTCAGGACCCGGGCCACAGCCTCTGAGAGGCATGTCTGGTTTCCCCGCACAGCAACAAGCACAGGCTCGAAACGCGACACTGGCCTCGGCGCGCTTGCCTAACGGAAAACTCGGTGCGAGTCCATATTGCTACATCCTGAATCTGCATGGCATGAATTATTGCTGACCAGGAGTGTCGGCAGGGAGCGGCGCCAACTGGAATTTCAACTTACCTGTTAGCGGGACACCAGGACTACAAGGAAATCAGCAGCGCAACGTTGGAGCTATGGGGACATTTGCGCAAAGCCTTAGTGGGGGATCGCAGCCTGCTACACCTCTTGATCTCTCGTATGTGTGACTTTTTTTCCCGCCCTCTAGAGTAGCCTTCAGTGTTGTCGAATTTGCAGCACAACTTTTTTTTCCTTTGATTCCTACCACTAACCTTTGTTCTCGCAGAGACTTCCCTTCGCTATCAGGAGCACCTCAGCAATCTCAGACTCCAAACCCAGGGCTAGTGTGGGGTCAGCGTGCCTTGCAGCAGACTCCGCAGAGGCAGCAGCACCCGACATCCCAAGCACCCTCGCGCGCCCCTCAGACACAGTCGCATCATCCGCAACAACAATCTCAGCCATCGCACGAAGACGTATTTCCCTCTGGTGCTCAATTCGCAAATCGTTTAGACGACTTTCGAAATGGTGGACAGGGTATCAGTGGTCAACTAGGAGGTTCTGGACAGCCACAGACAGGCAACATTGACGAGTTCCCCCCTCTGGGACGTAATGTCGCTGCGGATCTCGGCCAAGATCGCAGAGAGTCTCTGATGCAAAGTGCTGGACTCGGTAATTTTGGCGGCACAATGCCTTTCACTGGCGCAAACCAGAACCAGTCTGCTCAAAATCGCACCATGATTGGAGGGTCGATCAATGGACAGGATACTTCGAGAATGATGTCGCCTACAAATGCTGGGTCGACAGGTATGTTTATTAATTTTTCCCCGACGGCGAACAGGGTGCTGATCGCTTTCTCAGCCATCGGAACCTCACGCTCACCCGTTAACCAAGGAGCAAATGGAGTTCCTGGATCGGAAAAGGAGGTTAGGAGTCTCTGCAACTCGCGCCCATCCCCATTCCCTTGCTAAATTCAGTATGCAGGACTTGAACGTTACTACAATGGCGAATCAGCGTAATTTCACAGAGCAACAGCAGGCGCAGCAACCGCAGGCTGCGGCCGGCGAAGCACAAGACGTCGCTGCAGCTGCGCAAAGCACTGAACAGCCACCACTTGCTCAGATGAGCGAGCTCGACAGGTTTGGACTTGCAGGCTTGCTCCGGATGATCCACAGTGACAGTCCCGACGTCGCGAGTCTTGCAGTGGGTCAAGATCTGATGACTCTCGGTTTGGATTTGAATCAGCCTGAGTACGTTGTTGCTGTTATGGCACAGAAGCTTTTCCTTTGCTTTACTAACATGTGTGGTTCGAAGGCCCCTTCACACCTCTTTTGCGTCACCTTTCGTTGCATCGATGTCGGCCGTTCCTATGGAACAAAATTTCTCCTTGCCTGCATGTTACAGTGTTGCCAATATCCAGCCTCTACAGACCCGTATACCCAGCTTCAGCGATGAGACATTGTTTTATATCTTCTACAGCATGCCTCGTGACATTATGCAAGAGCTAGCTGCAGAAGAGTTGATGGGCCGCAAGTGGAGATATCATAAGATTGAAAGATGCTGGCTTACACGCGACGAGACGTATCCCGGTCCTGTGGATGTTGAACCTCGCGTCAGCGAACGTGGCGTTTATCTGATTTGGGATCCCACTACCTGGAAGAAGATTCGGGTATGTATTCTTGGCCCTGTTTTGAATCCATCCTGGAATGCTGACCACTTGGTATCAACAGCGTGAGTTTATTCTTCGCTACGAGGACCTGGACAACAGACTGGATCACAACAGGGGTCTTGCGCGCCCTCTTGGATTTCCTCATCAAGCTTCATGATTTCTGGTGGAATGTTGTATAAGCAACGGCGTTGGGTTGGCTACCAAATTTCTCTGATGCGGTTCAGGTGTTGTAGCCGGTGTTCTACTCCCGAGCAGTCAGGTGTTTTCCGGCCTTTTGTGGCTTCTATGGGAACTTGGGATATCTGACATTGATCTCTTTTCATGGTAATTTGTCAGTGTAGACTTTGAAACTATGAAGTGACGCCTTCAGTCATAAAAACCCGGGTCGTGCTCCTTATTATAGTCACCCCATTACAGAATGCCATGCCCGGTTACCACATACACGTGGCCCGTGTGTCCCTAGTCATCCTGGACCTTCTCTCGAGCCGAAGCTGCTTAGTTTGTG